TTCTTCCATGTCTTAAGCTTGGAAATGAAGGATTACCCACACTTTCCCGAACAAGAGTTCTCTGGGTACATCTACATGTAATTCTTCCATGGAGCAGACTCTGCATCCTGACCTTGCTCTCTGTTCAAATGACTTTCATATTAACAAAGGCTGTCATCTCTCTCTTAGATGATTTTTGTAGCTCTGTAATAGGTATATTGTCATCAGACTCACTTCTTTGCACATATCCCGCTTCCACCCTTAATTGTATTCAGTCAGTGAATCCTGCACAAGGCTGCTGTTTAATGGACCACGAGGCTAAAACCTTTCTGTGTCAGAGTCAGGTGATTGACCTCCCAATTCTCTTTTTAACGGATTTCTGCTAGTTTTTAACCAGGCACATGGTTTACACAACTAAAATCAACATTTCCTATGTATAATTCCTTATAGCGTAAGACTTACAGCATGGGGCTAAGTTCTAGCCAAAAGAATAAAAGCACAAATTGATATATATATATATATATATATTCTATATATATATATTCTATATATATATATATATTCTATATATATATTCTATATATATATATATATATATATACTGCAAGTTTTAGTTAATCTTCTTAAAGAGAAATGATCTCACTGAATGAGAAACAATGTGGGCAACCTTGAAAACCTATTTCTTTATAATCATGTTATGCTTTAGACTTTTTAATGACTATTTATACTTAAAGGGCTTAAGTTGAAATTACAAAATTATATGAATAAATGGCTGCTTTCCTTATTAGAGTCTAAGCAAAGATTTTTTCCATATTTTTTTTATATATTTCAGGCACTTATTACAGGGTCTGGCACACGAAGGGACTCAGAAAGTATTTGCTGAGTGTGAGGCATATGTATTAAGTGCTAGATGTTAAGCAAAGTCTAAATACTTTCATAATTCTCATTCAATGTTTTTTGTTCTTCAGACTTCTCTTTCTAGATCACAGTAAGAATATCATGCCTTCTGATTTGTGACTGATATTGCTAAACATAAAAGTTCAATATAGTGAAACCAAAAGTGATTTTGGAATCACTTAAATCATAATTGTAGAATTTGGAGTCATTGAATATTATTATTGCAGGAATCTTAGAAATTATCTTACCCAATATTCTTTTTATGAAATAGGAATGTTACATTTGGAGATGAGGCTTATTACCTAAGATTCCTTGACTAAATGTAACAGAACTATAAAATATAACTTGGTATTTTAACATCAAGTTCAGTGCTAACTAACTCTTCACTGTGCGTTGCGATTTCTCCTACTTCATACATTAGTATTTCTGAGGTCATAATTTGACTGTATCATTTTGTAGGTCCTATAAGGAATTAAAAAAAAAACAGATATTACAGATACCAAGTTTCTTTTGATCTTTTTGTTACAAGAAAACAATCAAGAGAATATCTTCAGAGTCCAAAAAAAAAAATGTGCATCTCTTATTACTAAAATTATAGTACTTTCTCACTACTAAGCAGAGAATAAGTATGATACATCATCCCACGTACCTCACTGCTACTAAAGATATGTAAATGTGAATTATGGCTCCATAATAGAAGGCCAGAAGAAGAACCCTCTGTTTCTTTTTTTTTCATTCATAGATAAAACAAACAAACAACAACAATAAAGGCAACAACAAAAAATTCCATAAAATGAATCCTTATTATATTTCATGTCTCCATACAAACAATCTAGAACTTTTCCTACATCTAGCTTTAAATTTTTGGTCACCACTCATTATAACACATACCATGTTTAATGTTTCCACAGAATCTGTAAAACATTTGCTGTATATCTACTATCTGGTGAGATAGTAATAGGTAGCCTAGTGGAAAAAAATAATGAAAATAGAAACAAGATTTTAGTAGGGTGATGGTTGAATAAAGAGTCACATAGGAAGCAAGTCATTTCCATAAACTGACAGTCCTAGGACTCACAGAGGAGAGGCATAGAAGCCATCCAGGAATCAGAAACAGTTCTCCAGAAGAGAAAGCGTCTGAACCCATGAACAGGAGTCAGGCAAAGAGAGAGGATTTCAAGTCAAGGGAAATGACAAAGACTTTGAAGAGTAGACATTGGAGTGAGGGGTAGGGTAGAGAGGAATGTATGTGAAGGTTGGTCTTAATAAAAGTGGGAGGGGTAGATATGAGCTAGATCAAGGAGAAGCTAGTAAGACAGAATATGGGACTTGAGATGCAGACTTTAACAAGTGAACAGAAATGCAAGTGCTAAGTAAATAAACAACATAATCAATCTGTATGAAAAAATTAATAGGTGACATGGGGACTGGATTTAGGTCGTGAGCAAAGAGTGACACTACCAGGCTGTTAAGCCCTCTGCAAAGCTATGCAACAACCCAAATAAAATATGAAAAAAATCCTGGACTAGGTAGGAGAATACAGAGAAGGGGATGGGTGTGAGATTCATGTAAGAGTCAGAATCAACCAAATCATCATCACTGGATAAGAAAATGTGAGGTATGGGGAGATCATGCTGAGTTTTTACATTCACCTGAGCAATAGTGCTAGTGATTAAAAGAGAAAAGCAGGAAGAGAAGCAGTAGGTTTTGAAGAGCAAATTTTAAGTCAAATTTGGGAATTTTTTTAAAGATTTATTTATTTATAAAAGAGCTGGGTTACAGGTCAGAGGCGTGGGAGGGTGAGAGAATTCACCGGAGAGAGTGGGGAGCAGAAGAGGCAGATGGACCGAAGACACTGCTGAGGGGAGCAGTGGGCAAAGCAGGAGAGTTCTGCCACACCATGCGGGACTCTCTCTGGCCAGCTGGGAATCCAACCCGCACTGCAGAGGCTGTGGACAGCTTCACAGCGCGGTGCTCAACCTGCTGCACCACCAGGGAGGCCCCAAATTTGGGTATATTGTAGAAAAAGGAGTTCAAGATTTAGGTACTTAACCTAACTGCTATCATTTATTGGGATGACCTTGAGATAACTATTTAACTCTCTTAGTCTTACTATTTTTATCTTTCAAATGTTATGTTTATAGCTTAGCCTTACATCTAATTAAAAACTTATATTCATGAATGTCTGATGACTATCAATAAACCATGAAAGGTTTCACTCATCTGTTAACTTGATTTGATTGAAGTCAAATACTTCAAGTGAAAAATCATATTTCTGAAAGATTGACAGACTTCTTGGGTTACTTGAAGGTATTTTATTAGAAATCTCATTGTATCTCACATGCATTTCTAAATCTCTATGTATAGCTCTTTTTCTTCTATAAGAAATGCTTGTTAGTGTGTGTGTAAGCCAAAATGTGTGCAAGCATCCAGACTTGGTCTTGATCATCGCTTATCCCAAAAAGACAACAAGAATCCTTTGGAGGTAGACTACTTGGGAAATGCAGTTCCTTCTAAGCATTCATTTCTTTCTTTATCCAATGCCCATTCATTCATGTAGACACTCATTCATCCAGTTGTATATCATTGAGACAAACTTCATTGATTGAAAATCATATTTGAAACTTTGTGTAAATTCCCTTGACTGTACCTACTCTTTCATTGGCAATATGGTATTAGTAATGTAGCTTATGCCACAAGATTGTTGTAACTATTAGAAGAGTCAATAAATACATGTTTAAAACAGCACTGAGAAAATGAAAAGCATTCAGTAGGCTTCAGTGATCATTGTTAGTGATACAAATCCCCCTGTTAGGTTACATCCCATTTGGTCCTATATGACTACCTCCTGCTTTGGAAATTGTCTGAGGGACTGTGCTGCAGGTTTGCTTATGATGCAAAATATGAATTTGATTAATGAAATAAAATCACATTGATAATAAACTATATTTAAATACCTATTATTTATATGCATTCTGTTGAGTCTTTCATATATCATAATAGTTACAATATAGTACACAGTTCTTGTCATGAGCAAAATAATGTTCCCCCAAACTTCTTATGTCATATTCCCCAGAAGTTGTGACTATATTAGGTTATATGCCAAAGCTGAATTAAATTGCAGACAAAATTAAAGTTGCTAGTCAGGTGCCCTTGAGATGGGGAGATTATTGTTGGTTCTCTGGGTGCATTCATGAAGGTTCTTAAATGTAGGACAGGGAGGCAGAAGGGGAAGAACCAGAGAAATGGCAGTATCAAAAGGGTTCTGCTGGATATTGCAGACCTTGAAGATGGGGGAAGTAACCACCATCAAAGGAGAGTGGTCAGCCCCTAAAATGTAGGAAAGGCAAGGAAACAATGTCTCTGAGAGTCTCCAGAGAAAGAAACGGTTCTACTGTTACCTTGATGCCAGCACCCTGAGGCCAATTTCAGTATCTCAACTACAGAACAAAAAGATAATAAATGTGCATTATTTTGAACCAGTTGAGTTTGTGATAATTGTAACAACAGCAGAAAAAGCTAATATACCACATGCTATACTTCCCCATTGTAACTAATTGGGAGTTACCGTAGTGCCAAATGAATTCTTAGAAAACAAGTGCTTCTCTTGAGAAACTTGCTTGCTGGTTGAGGTGAGAGAGCAATGCACACAGTAAACACTGAGAGGAGAATGAGCTCAGAGTTAAAGCTCTGAAAGTTTGCAAGGTGTGTTTGGGGTAGCTGTGGAGTTCTCAGGTAACTATAATATTCCAGAGTAGGGGTCCTCCCTGGTGAATAGGGGTTAAGTCTCAGAGTTATAACCGTGACACTCTGAGTTTGATCCCTGGCTAGGGAGCTAACCCCCATATGGCACAGCAGACCTCTCCTATCTCTCCTGCTGTTGACCTTAATAGTGTATTTCAGTCAGTCCGCCTGTTCTGTTCCCCACTCTGTCTCTGGTGAATCTTCTCACCCCCCACACCTCTGGCCTACAACCCAGTTCAATGCATAAATACATAAAATAAATAAGATTGCAGAATAACTGTGGGATTCTAGAATATCTATGGGATTCTGGAGCAGCTGCAGTATTCTATAGTGACCACAGTATTTTGTAGTGGCTGTGAGGTTCTGGAGTCTCTCTGGGATTCTGGAGTAACTATGACGCTCCAGACTACAGGAGAAAGAGAAGGTGAGGGTATGGAGCCGCTCACTTGTTTTTAGTGTGGGGATATTTTTCATAAGAGAAAGTGTTTCAATTTGCTTTCAATAACTGTTTTAGAAATGCAAAGCAAAGGTACATTGGTCATAGAGGAGCACTTTCATTCAACCAAAGGTAAGTATTCTCAGCAGCAGAGTTCTTTGCCAGGAGGTACTGCTCTTAGCTGTCAAGATGTCCAGTCAATCTGCTGCAGGGGTAGCAAGGTGTTGATACTCTTAGTCACTGAGTAGAAAAGCAGGGCCTGAGTTGAAGAAGCCTCTGGGCAGTTGCTTATCACCAAGCGCTACCTTCTTCCTTTCTCCAATCTTTTCATTTTGTGAAAAGATGTGATTTATGATGTGAAATATTGATGCACATTGAAATAAATTATATGCAAACTCTACATCATTTTAAGAATCTATGTGAAGAGTTTTGGAAGGGAGAGTAAGAGGGAAATTAGACCTTATATTTATTGGGCTACTCTGTCTTATTCATTACCTCACTTAATCTCACCGCTGTCCCACAAGTAGGCATTATTTTCTTTCTATCTATTTGGAGAGGTACATTCTCTGAGCACAAATCAATGAGGGAGATGCTAAATGGTTCGGGGCTGGCTGCATGCAGGAGGAGAGAGAGAAGGCAGAAGTTGTGTTGGCTGTTGTGGTATGAGGAGGCTGTTCCCTGGAGGAACCAAGAATTTAAGTGTGGCTGCGAGGGAGGATGTGGCCAGGCTGGAGCAGAGGTTGGGGAAGGGGAAGGAGGTCAGTCTGGGCAAGGAATAAATATGGACAAACATTTGAATCATTGGAACCTAAGCCCAAGCAGGGGATGAGGACGCTGGGGGTGACTGAAATAAAGTTTTTTTTTTTTTTTAAAGATTTATTTATTTATTTATACAAGCACTGGGTACAGTCAGAAGCGTGGGAGGGTGAGAGAATTCACCAGAGCCAAAGCAGGGAGCAGAACAGGCAGATGGAGGACACTACTGAGGGGAGCAGCAGACACGGCAGGAGAGGTCTGTGTGCCCTGTGGGACCCTCACCGGAGGCTGGGGACTGAACCGGCGCTGCAGAGGCTTTGGGCAACTTGATAGCCCAGCGCTCAACCGCTGCGCCACCAGGGGCGGCCCTGACTGAAAGAAAGTTGACCAAGGAAGAGATAATTGAACTTTTAAGGACTTGAGTTCCAAAAGGAAAAAAAAAATGGACTTAAGCCATTGGCATTGGGAACTTCAGTGATAATAATGTCGGAGAAGGCCTCCTTCGTGGTACAAGGGGTTAAGTCTCAGCACTATGAAACTAACCGTAGCCACTGCAGCGAGAGTTCGATCCCTGGCCAGGGAGCTGATCCACATGGCACAGAAGACCTCTCCTGTCTCATCTGCTGCTCAGTCTGCCTGGTAAATCCTCTCACCCCTGGCGTATCTGGCCTACACCCCAACTCTTATATGCATAAATAAAATAAGACTTAAAAAAATGTCAGAGAAAAAAGGTTATAAAAAGGTCAGAAAAACACAATCCATCAGGTTCTAGATGAGAAGCTGCTGGTGTAATACCATGAAATACTATGTCCTCCTGTGGTATGTATCTGCTGAAGTAAATAAAGAACTTTGTAACTCTTTTGGAGTGTCATTCTATAGTCTCATTTTAACCCAATTTAATGAATAATTATTGAGTCCTTATTCTGTACAGGCTCTTTTGTGGGCACTGGCAATACAAAGATGAAGAGAAAAATTTGTCCTCACAGCCTCATGTTGAGAGATGTAGAAGCTACACAGGACACATGTGGAGCAAGGCTTCCAAGGAAGCAAAGATGAGCCTGCCACCCCCGCTGCCTTAGATGGTGACCTTCTCTGGGTATGGGCTAAGCAAAGGATTTGGAGAATCCCTTCAATTATTAACTGTATTTCGCCCATCACCAGACATTTCTTCCTCTGAGTCCAAGCCTTTGAGGAACACACGGACGCCCATTTATATACATAAAACACAGCGTCATGGAACATTTTCCCCAAATGTTTATTTGAATTTAATGCTCATGATAATATAATATGTCAAGTCTTCCCTGAGGGAAGTTTGCATTTTCACAAGGAGTTTCCTTGGCAACACCGTGACCACCGTGAAAATTTCTGGCATAGTCTAAGATTATAGCGGGATCATTTTTAAAGAATTTTGAATTGTTTATTAATTCATATTCCCCATATAATTTAATTTATTAAAATGTAGTACACAATAGCAGGGGGTGGGGTGACGACCTTTCCATTTAACAAACAGATGTGTAAGAATTGAGTCCTTGTAATACTGGGAAGCACATTATTGTCCACACTTTACAGATAAAGATGCTGAAGTTACATGACTTGTGCAAGTGCATAAAGTCAGGAAATACAGAGCCAGGATTCAAATTGAAATCTTCCTGTTGCCAAATTGCACGTGTTTTTCCTCTCTGTTGGCAGGGCCTTCATCCTGCCCATTCTGGGACAGCGCCCAAGCATCCAGGGGTCCTATAAATAACCTACTTGAGATTCATGCTTTTGCCTACCTGAGGTTACATTTTCTGACTGAATATTTTTCTGGAAATGTCTTCTCACGTGTAAGTCAGTCTTTCCTGTGGATTACAGGGGGACTTTCCCAGAGCATCTGAATCAGCTCATAGGTTCTTCAATCTGTTTTCCCTTGGTAAGTTGCCACCCCCAACTGCCTCCCAAATTAATGAGATCAGGGCAGGTCTTTGCAGCAAAACAAACTCACTCATGCTTCCTTTAGTGAGAATTGCTGAGCCTGGTTAATCATGACAGATGTCTTCATAGTGGATGGATTTCTGTCACAGCAAGTGGATACAGGCATCTCTCGGTCTCTTGTTCTACTTGGCGTTCAGGCTCAGAAAGTGATGGGACCACTAGTAGTAACAAAATAAAATTCTCCACAAGCTACTCACATGTGTGGAATGAGAGAGGTGAAGGGCATTGGCCTACTGCGGAAAAAAATCTTAGACTACTAGATTCAGAAGAGATTTCAAGGATTTTCATTCTGAACTTCATCATTTTAAGAAAATCATATTTGGGAGGAGAATTATTTTTGAAAGCATGTTTCTTCCTTTACATAATGGTGTTCCTTCATTTTTGTCATGCAGCCTTCAGATATTTTAACACCAAGCACACACTCTGTGTTGGCATCGTTTGTCTCCCGCCATCTTGTCGAAGTTCAGAGTCACATGTAAACTGAACTAATTTTACAATCATATCAGACAGAAGACAATCAAGTCTAGCAAATATAATCCAGAGAAATGAGAACAGTAGCTTTTCAGCTCCTTCTTAATGGTTCTGTGAAAGAGAAATCTGCTTTGCTCCATAAGGGAAAAGAGATAAAAAGGCAGGGAATCTGTTCATGGAGTGCCTACAGTATGGCAGGTAGCACAACAGGCATATCTGGTTATTTTTACCTCTGCCACTGTAATTCTGAACAGTTGATATAATTATCTCCACTTTATGAAAGGGAACCAGAGGACCAGAGATGGTGTTCTGTGTATGGCCACGTAGATAATAGCTTACAGAGCCCCAAACCAAACTTGCTTGGTCTGGTATGAAAGGTTGTGCTTGTTCTGGTATAACACATGATTTCCCTTTGGGCAGAAAGAGCAAAAATACAACTTTCTGGTAACATTTATGTGATTAGAGCCACTCAGTTATTTTCCTCATTGCTCACAGGAATGTGATATATATACATCATTTCAATAAACAGTGAATTCATTTTATAGCTAAGGTTTTGAAATACAAACAAATCTAATGAGTCCTTTAGTTTTTGAAAGTTTAATAATACTGCTAAGAGCAACTTTTACTGCTTAAAGTAGTAGTAAAGAATACATATAATAAATTAAAAATCCAGTAGTGTCTTTGAAAAGGTATTTTATTTCTGCAACTTATAACATGTAATGATAAATACATTAGTAGCTAACATCTCAATTACCTTGTTGGCAAAAATATCGTTGATAATAATTTTACTTCTCTAACTTAAAAAACCTGCAAGATAAGAAATAATTCCATCACAAGACTAGGTGGGACAATAAATCACCTTATAGAATACCAGGAGAACAGGCACAAAGCCAATTAAATCCCCCTGGCAGATTGGATCAGCAGGAAGCAGCTTGCAAAAACATTTGCTTAAAAGTTGTTGGACTGGACAAGAAGATGAAAACCTTCCATACAAGGTTAGTGCTTGAATTTCAGAAGGTCATTGATAGACAGTTTAGCCTGCAGGACTGGTAGGAGACAGCTGATAGATAGTGATTTAAAGACATACTTCTTCAATTAACACATGATATAGCACCTAATTCCTGCCATGTGTCTTTCTTTAAAAACTAGGGAGCTTCTAGGCTGGCGAGGAAGATAAGAAAATAAACAAACAGCTAAAGATAGTGTTATAGGTAAAAAATAGTTGACTTCGAGATTGTACAGTGAAGAAAGGGACTGTGACCCGCTGATGACCTTGAATTTATGGAAGCATGGAAGATGGACATTTATTTCAGATTAAATGGGTGTGGGGTTTAGAATCTCTGGGAAACCTTAGTAAGGGAGAGATGATTGATGCGAGCTAGTCTTAGAAGGATAAACAAGTGTAGTAGGTGAACCAGGATTGGAAGGACTTGGAAATGATAGGAAGCATCAGACCATGTGACAGGCATGTAACTCATCTGACTGGATGATTGACAGTGCAGTTGGAGAGGCAGTCAGAAGCTAGATTATGTAAAGCTTTATATAACATTCTTTGGACTTTGCTCATTTTTCTGGATTTAGATGTTCCCAAATTTTAGTGTGCATAAGATTCACGCAGCCAGGAGATTCTGATTCAAAGAGTCTGTGTTGATGATTAGGAATCAACATTTTAAATAAACCCTCCAAGCTTATTTTACTTCTGGCACTTTCTGGATCACAATCCTAAAAGACACTGCAGAGCAGGAACTACTGAAAGCTTTTAAGTTGGGGAGTCGGCTGTGTTTATTCATTTAAAGGTTCATTCTGGTAAATTATAGGCTATATTGGATCTTCAAGAACTGAAGGCAGAGTGAGTCCTTCCTAGGCACTTTCCATAATCCAGTTAAGAAGTGATGCCTGTATGAATTAAAATTGAATGTGTTAATTGATTCGGTGTAGGGAAGCAGGAGCAGGAAAGAATTAGGAATCAAGGATTGTCCCTGAAAACTGGTGCTGTTGTGCAATGCGGGAAGATAGAAAATGTGTAGACTTGGCTAGGCAAATAAATGGTCTTAGAGTGGCATTCTTAGGCCTGTGTTACTTTAAAATTGTACTATCAGTTCATGGAATATAGCTGAAGATACCAGATTTGGACATGGGAGTTTAATAGTTATTAAGATATTAGTGTTAAGTAAGGCAGTCTAGTTGAGTAAAGCGCACACACACACACACATACACAACAAAAACAAAATGACAAAGGAAACCAAGACTTTTGGAGAACATAGCATTTGATAGAAGACAGAAATTTTGGGGGGGAAATTGAAAAGGGATAGTCAGAAAAATTGAGGAGGAAAATGAAGAGAGAGAAGTATCCCTGAAAATAAAAGTAAAGTGAATCCCAAGAAAGAGAGCTTTGTCTACACTGTGGAAATAGAGTCTGAGAGCTGTGTCTTCTATGTGCCACTTGATGGGCAGCATCATTTTGTTAATTCGCCATGACTACATGACAGGGACAATCTTTCAGAAGATGAGGAGACACAAAAGAGACTTGTTAAATTGTCATCATAACTCTTGAGAGAAGGGAGCTTTCAGTCCCACTCCTGCCTGTTCTGGAAGCGGGTGCCCCATCCTCTATCAATAAGCTGCTTTCCTAGAAACTGGAGTGAAAGAAATTTCAGGCAACTCATGTCCGGTAAGTGGGTGAATAGCACATGGTAACTGAAATCATTGCACATGAACAATTCTTTCTGAAACTTTTTCTCTGAAAACAAAGGAAGAGTATCCTGACAAAAGGATGAAAAACTGAAAAGAAAAAAAAAGTTTCCATTCAAAGGAGAAAGCCAACAGAGAGGGAAAAGATGAAGGAGCAGAGAGACCAATGAGGGATTTTATTTTTATAGTCACAGGGGGGGTTGAATTCAGAGGTAAGGCCGTGGGTCTTTGAGTGGTGAAGGAGAAAGGATCAAGGATAGAATAGTGCATTGTTAAGGAGGAGGACGAGGTCAGAAAGGCCTTGCCAGACAGATGGCTTCTATTTTGTGTTTCCTACATGACTTAGGAGACATTTTCTGAAAATAATGGGATCTGGTGGTAAAAACAGGGGTTTGAATGAATGAAATAAGAATGGAATCACCTGTTAGGGCTGTGGTGTGGTGGGTGTGCAGGGACACAGGGGATCATGGCCAAGCAGTTTAAAGGGTCTAGCTCAGAATGTACCAAGACCTGAAAATTCTCATTTTCCATGGTGAAATAACTCTGAGCAACTTATGGCTAACATAATGTCCATCTTAGAAAACCCCTGTGTTCCACCAGGAGGATCACACAGACAGCTACATAGACCATTCTGGGAGGTCTAAAATAAACAATGCGAGGCTTGAAACTCGAAGGTTAACAAAACAAGTAGGGAGTGAGGGCAGGGAGGAAGAAAACATTACAAGAGGTAAGCACAACCAGAAAACCTAGAAAAGCATCCTCTTAAGGATGTAAATTAAAAAGTGAGGTTTGAAGAGATGAGGAGAGAAATACTGTTTAGTAATTTTGGAGGTTAAATGAGAATCAGTTCTGGAAAGGTCTCTACTATAGCTGAAGAAGTTACACATCTTTTGTCAGGTATTTTCAAACAAAATCACCTTTTTTCTCTAAGTATCCTTTTTTAGACCTATAGCTGCTCATGTTCATATTCATCTGTTATATGATGTCAGGAGAAAGGGAACAAAATTTTATTGGTTTATCTCTGTGTTGGAAATTAGACATATATTTTGTTTAATCTTCATCCACCTGAAAAGATGGATAGTAGGACCATTATGGACAGAATCACACAGGTAGGAAACAGTGGGTCCACACCCCACAAGTTGGTTCCAGCAGGTGAACTCTCTTGGGTGCCTGATTAGTGGAACACACCAGCATTCACTTTCTGATGAGAGGCCCTCTTTGTACAAGAAGAAGAACTACTCTCTTTGTGCCAATGGCAGGAATAACTGTGAGAAATCAAGACACAAATTCTGGGGAAGATGCAGGGAAGAAAATAGAAATATCAAGTATTTATTTCACCAGCAGAAGTTAATGGAAAACAATTGAGTAAGGAAGGAAAAACAAGGGCTTGGGTTCTCTGTGTCATGTAGATTCCATAACTCTGGAGTCTGTGAATACAGTGCTCATAGGCTATCAAGGTACAAGGATTCTGGACACACTGTAGTAAATCCAGGATCTAAGCAGAAATACATACCAAGCAACTTACATTTCTTTCTTACTACCTCCCTTCCTCATGCTTTCTGTCCCCTTTTCATAGTCTTGCCTCCAGCAACTTTTTTCAGCCAGGTGACTGGAGATGGGGTAGTGACTTTCCATCTGCTCTACATGGACAAGTCACTGCAGCTCTTGCTCCATCCGAAACATGATCTAGGCTAACTTCTGATGGGGATGGGGGGCAGGTTCCTGGGAGCCCAAGGATCTTAAGGCATCAACTATTTGTTCTTAATATTTGAATACTGCTTAATGCTTTTCCCCTTCACATTCCTGGGAAAAACAAAAGCATTTTCCAGTGGCCCAAATGTCCATATTCCTCTCTCCCTGGATATATAACTTAAAGAAAAAAACAACACAAACATCTGGACAAAAAGCCAAGAGAACATAGTTTCTAAGGAGAAGTCAAATGATATAAATCTCTTTTTGTGTTCAAACGAAAGGATTTCTTTGGTCTCCTGTTTGCTTCTTCCGTGCTTCTCTATGCCAGCTGATATATCTGTATCTGCATCTGTAACTATAACCATGATAAGTTGAACCCTATATTATCTACATCCCTCTCTTATGTCAATATAAACATTTTCATCCAGTAAATCATTCTGACAACTTTCCTTGCCTTAATTTTATTTTATCTGTATTCTTCAGTACAGATAAGCACAATTTGTAAAAACTCAGACTTCCAATACCTTATTAATAAGGAGTAGGTACAAAATACTTTCCAGGATCAGATGCTGGTTATAATTTACTGGACGAGTTTAAGATGAGTAAAAGCATGCTGTTGAGGGCCTTCGGAGTTTATCTCTCAACTTCCTGCTTCTCCTCCTCCCTGAACACCCCCCTCCCCTGGCAATTTCATTTTCTGGTAATGCAACATTAGGCTGTGAAAAATTACGTACCAGAGTAACATAAAGCAAGCTTTTAAACAGAATATAAACAGTTGCCTCGGATCATAATAGCTACCATTTGTTGTGCCTGACACTGTACTCTGTGTTTATGTAAATCATGCCCTTTTACCCTCAAAATAATCCTATGACAGTTTTTTGCCATGTTTCCGCAGTTGAAAAAAAAAGTAAGGTCAAGAGCTTGTTGAGCTTATAAGGAGGAAGGTCAAGATTCCAATCAAACCTTGCGTTTTGTCCACTACTCTAGAGTAGGTCTCAAGTCTCATGCTTTTTTTACCCAAAACAGAGATAATTTCCTTGATGGCTGATAGCAATAGCACTCAACTGATTGTATTAAACTATGTGTTCAAGTATTTGGTTTATATCAAAGGGAAACCAGGGCAATGAAATAGAAGGGCTGCATATGGAAATTATCTTGATTATGTATTTCTTGTTTAACTAATGGTTGAATCTGATCATTGGTTCCGCTTTGCCTGAGCCAAATTTGTACGATTCATTTTGACATTTTTGCTTATCAGTATGCAGGTCTATTCCTGTGTGCCTCTCAATGTGACCATGTCAGCTACCTCAGTTATGGTCACTTCTCAAACATTTATTAGGCATTTGCTGATGAATAAGAAATGAGGACAAACAGATGGTTTCAGAATAATGTGGTCAGTTTGGCGGTCAAGGTATGCAGAGGAAAGGATGGAGACACGGAGCAGGGGCATTTAACCCAGATGGGGGAGGAAGAGTGGAGGGAGACTTTCTGGAGGACATCTAAACTAATTCATGAAGGACAACTAAAAGGCAGCCAGGCAAGGGGGGTTGGAGTTGGGCTAACTAGAGGAAAATCCATGAACAAAAGAAGATGCACGTGAACACAAAGGGAGGTGTGGGCAGGGAACTGCCAAGAGTTCAGAACAATTAGAACATCAAATGCAGGGCTAATTGCAGAGCTAGAAGGAGAGCTGAGTTCAGAGAGGTCAGCCAGAAATAGGGCAATCAGGGTCTTGTTGCTGCAGGAAGGAGAGAGAAATATCTGATTTTAGATAGATCGTTCTGAATTAAGGAAGGATTTAAGTTGTGCCTGACACTGTAAGCCTGATGATTGCCACCCTCTCAAGAAAACAAAATGATTATTAACAATTACTGAATGTAAACTTTGGAATGGAACTCTAAAAAATCCTGAAAGTTATGCACTGCAAAATATGTACATTAATCTCTACTTCCCCTCTGCTATGGCCACTGGGATCCTTGGTTGAAAGGACTAAGAACAACATCCAGGCTGCCTCTAATTCCTTCATCTCTTATTCTATGACTTGTTAATGCTCCTCCAAGTATTCCCTTATTCATGTCCTTAATGTCTGTGTATGCACGATTACTTCCTTGGGTCAGGTTTTTTATTATCACTTGCAAATGAAGGTTGGTTTTTCTATAGATATTGGTCTGAAATCAAGGCTTTAAATAAGTAACTCAGTGGTTTCTATTTTAAATCAGATTAAATGTAAGGACTGTATCATGGTCTATCATTTTGTGCTACCCAAAGCAGAGCTGCAGTCCATATTTTTGCCTATTTGAATCTCAAGGACGATTAACTGCCTGTCCACTAGAGTGAACACTCAGGAACCTACCCCCATCTGATTGCAGTATTTTCTTTGTTGAATCTAATAGTAAATGACAGACTTGTGCTTTTTATATCTTTGGTATTTTCTTCACCCACTTCCTAAGAGTTGACTTTGTTGTGTTTTTAAAAAGTATCAATCTGTGATGGATAGGGCCTGAGATTCTGCTTTTCTAGCTGCCCCTCCTCACAGACAGCTTGAGAAACCTTTTTCTACTGTATATTTCAAATGAATACCACAGGAAAATAAAATAAAGTAAATCACTCTTGGCTTTTCTGAGTGATTACTAGGTATCAGGCAGGTAAATTGGGTATCTCACATGATATTTCCCAAAGCTCTTAGATGGACATAATAATAGCTATTTTGCAAATTAAAAAAAAAAAATAGAGCTGGGAGCATGAAAGTAGAGATTTTGAGTTGTAATTTAATTTCAAATCTGTATAATCCTACAATTAACACCCTTTTTATACCCCTTAATTTCATTGTTATGAACCATGTAATTTCTTGCTAAAATTAGGCATAGCTTCCTCAAGAGATGGGCAGTTCTAAGATCAGCATCCACATCAAATGCCATCTTAAATATCATAATCCATACCACAGGACAGGACCAACACTGATTTTCAGTGTATTTGGATAATTGTCACCACCCTTGTGTAGCCCTGCTAGTCACACACTGCCTTGGAGTTAAGGGGCTGTGCCGAGCCCTTAGACAGATGAGGGTCCTTTCATAAACAGGAAGGGTCTTGCCTCAGATCTTTATCTAGAAACAAACTTCTGACTTCCTTTGTGCATCTAGCAGGATGTTTTGTTTTTAATCTATGAAAACTGTGTTCATGAGTGTTTGTCTTGACAAGAAGGAAAGATAGAAAAGAAATTAAGGTTTGTTAGTTGTTAAAGCCTCCAATTCTTGTGGCTGTACACACAGGCTGTACTATTACCAGCAAATCTTTTGTCATGTCATTGTGTCTGTTGCTACCCCACCTCAGCCAACTGAAATGCTCGATGAACTGAACCATTGAGTGTATTTCTTTTTTAGGTTTTAAACATGGACATTAACATGCTACAGTCCAGAAGAACTTTCCACACACTGAAGATTGAGCACTGTTGATGTTCTCCCAGTACCTATTTCATTCAGAAATAACACACTTTGAAGAGAGTTTGTGTCTATGTGCTGGTTCCTACTATAAATTTTATTTCAGAACTTGCCAGTGCCCCAAGCAGAGTATGCCAAGTGTAACCAAAGCTGCAGACAGTTCGGAGATTGATATTTCAAAGAAATTGAAATTCAGTCAGAAGTATTCTTCATCAAAGTGCAGAGCTATGCCCTGAATTCTAGAGGAACCAGGTGCTTGCAACTGCTCAGCATCCAGCCAATGCATCTAAGGCCTTGAGTTGGGACACACACAGGCCAGCACAGATGGACAGTGACTGCAGACACTGGGGAACATGATGTCAGGACAGCCCCAGAAATCTAGCGTACAGCCACTTCTCATGGGTCCCCCAGCCCAACTTCTCTTCTAAGATCTTGCTATCAAGGCCCGATTATTCCTTTATCCTTAATAATGTTTATTCTTAATAAGGATTAATCACAAGGCACTGCAGCCTGGTGGCTAAGGCCACAAACTTTAGACCATGAATATCTACCATTGAGTGAGCTCGTACTGATCCTTAAGCACTATCCTCGAGGTATATAGTAAAAGGCAGATTTTTTTTAAACCTTTACTAATATATATCATTAATATTATATAATTCACATATAATACATAATAGTATACATAGATCATATGTAATGTAATAGATCTACATGTATAAATGATATAATACATGCATGCAATACACATATAGATTCATATATTATATATAATACATACAAGACAATATAGATTACATGGGATTATATTATTATCATTACTTTACAGATGAGAAAAGCAAGGTTCATGGAGTCTCATCTATAAGTATGCTAGATCCAGTGTTTAAGCTCAGATTCAACTCAACCTTAGGTGAGTATTGTTTATTATCATGTTTTTCTCTAACAGGAATAACAGCAGACCTGCCAATTTTATTCTGGTTAGAAAAATACAGGTCTGTTCATTGAAAAATGAAAGTTATACACCAAATTATGGACTGTGCAGGATGAAAATAAACTCCAGAGTCATTCTTTGAGAGCACACTGAACTTAAGACTTACTCATGGATTACAGCATCTCTGCTTGGCTCTTGGTTTGCAAATAAAGCACCGCACCTTCTTGAACCTTTTACACTGTTTGATTTCAAAGACCAAAGGGCAAGATGTGGGTTCCTTGGTGTCAATAAATGTTCTTACATTCCTTTCAAAGTCACTGCAGGACATAAAAAGGTAATGAGAAGACAGAAACCCAAAACCTTTAGGTGGCACCAGTAAAAGGAGATCATGGGGACAGTGACAGTGATAAATCAACAAGTTCTTAAATTAATCTTTCCCAAAGAGACCTCTGCAGAGCAGCAATGCTAGTAAATGAATGTCTGGCTAAGTAAATGATGGAAACGTAACTCGTAAGAGTCTCCCTTTTGTGTAGTATATGAAAAGCTTGCAGAAGTCCTGCTATTAAAAAAAATAAAGATTTTTTATGTAATCCTAACATTTTGCATAATGTCCATAACAATAAATATGGATATTTGCTTTAGTGACAAACTTTAAGAACAAGATGTTCAATTCATGCTGTAGGCTTATTAGGTCATCCAAAATAGTTCCTGGGGAACCAAATAATCATAGCTTTGCAATTCCTTGCCATCTTCCTTTCTGGACACGTGTAGTGCTCACATTTCCTTACAGGTGACTCAGGTTAGGTCACTGTCATACGTATTGACATTGTAATGACCTTGACTAATGGATGGGTGGAGGCAATTGTGATAGAGCAACTTAAGTTATCAATTAAAAGTAGCCACTTATTGAGGAAGACATGCAAAAGGCAAGGACAGAGAGAAGCCTGACTGTATGAAAACACTCACCTAAATCAAAATTAACAGGTGATCCTGACATGATAGTTCTGAACAGTAGCAAAAATCCAGGCACTGGAGGTGAAGCAATTTATGATGCCATTGAGATGGCCCTGAAGCCTTCTCCAGTGTTTGGAGAGATCCGCCAGAGACTCACCCTGAGAAGTGATGCCCACACAAGCTCCTGACAGATGGAGGGATCCAGGAGTCCTCCCTGCAGGGAAACCCCCACTCTTTACCACCCGCCTCCAAAACTTTTCAGGGATCTGTTATCTTGCCCCACTTTTTTTGCTGCCAACTTATTTGTATTTTTATATTATTGTAATGTGAATCCTACCCCTACCCCACCGAGCTCATATTGTGGTTGTATGCATTTAATTTGAATTGAAATTGAAACCTTCCTGCTTTGGGGAAAAAAAAAAAAAACAGTCTATTGACCCCAAACCTAATAAAAGGCAGAAAGCCGCCTACAAAGAAAACAACAGAAATGATGAAGGCTTATTAACCGCATAATTTTTGAATTTGTATACCCGTGAAAGTGTAATAATGGAAACAATTCAAATAATTCGCAAATGGCTTAAGAATGTTTACAGCTGGGTCTCCCCTGGTGGTGCTGGTGGTTGAGCTCCACACTGTGAAGCTGTCCATAGCCTCTGCAGCGCCGATTCAATCCCAGCTGGCCAGCGAGGGCCCCACATGGCGCAGCAGACCTCTCCTGTCTCGCCCGCTGCTCCCCTCATCAGTGTATTGCATCAGTCTGCCTGTTCTTTTCCCCGCTCTGACTCTGGTGAATCCTCTCACCCTCCCGTGCATCTGGCCTGTACCCCAGCTCTTGTAAAAAATAAATAAATATTTAAAAAAAAAAGAATGTTTTCAGCTACCTCCTAGAGGTTAATGGATTCCCCCCACCTAGATAATACCCCTAAATAGAAATTAGAAGCAAACAAAATTATGAGTCTAGTTCTCAGCTAATACTGAGGAAGACCCAATACAACTTTTTATCGAGCACTGCAAGACACAGAAAAAATGGAAAGGGCACCTATTAAATAATATATGACTGTTGTATTTGGCAGGAAGGTGACAATAAATTTGAGCAAACAAATGAATTTCTGTTTTACTGATATAGGTGGTTAAAAAGTTTTCCAATATTAATTTTCTAGGCTAGAACCAGAATTAGTACCCAGTTCTGACTCTATCTAGCTAGTGCATACTTTCACTACATATGCTACCAGTTGAATAGGAACAAATGACTACCACTACTACAAAGATTGTTCAAGGAACAATCTATATGGGGGAAGAGTAGAGATATGCTGTAGGATAAATGATGGTCAGGCTTTGCTGCCCTCCCACCATTAGGATTGATGATGGATCCCTGCGGTCCTGCATGCATGCCTGATGGCAGGCACCTGGAATAGGGTCTGGGCATATGTAGGTGGGTACACCTGGCCTGAAAGACTGGGCTTATATGGGCTGCATCACGGGGACGCCAGCAGAATGGAACTATCAGAAGAAGCAGAACAAGCAGAGAAGCAGAGGCCATGAGAGAACACCGAGAGCCTGGAAAGAGTGAAGACTTGCTGGGGGCTAGGAGGCCTGCCAGCCTCCCGGCCTCCGGCTACCCCTGCCTGCTGTGTACCTGGTAAACTCAATAAAAGCCTGAAAAGGCCACCGAGGGCTTTTTCCTAGGACTCTTCTTTACTACATCTGCTCGGGTCATAGAGATCCTGTTCTGGCCCTTCCTGGCACTACATAGGCATAACAAGAAAACTAGCAATACCAGTAATGACTCAGAGAAATGGTACTGTATGAAAGAAATAAAAGGAAGGTTTTCAGACCATGCTTAGGAGTAGCTGTGACTGAGATAAACAAAGGAGAGATCTAGAAGCGGCAGGGCTGGGGAATAGCAGGAAAAGAATGAGAGCATCATCAATAGTGCTTTGTGGGCCTCTCTGTTCTGACCTCCCTTTGTCATGAAGTAGGGATGACTCTTTATCACTAGTGCATACTGACTACACACAGCAGACACTTGATAAATAGTGCACAGGAGCTACGACCGCGAAGGGAGAGATGTCTGGCTTACGAAAGACTTAACATTTCCCAGGAAAATCTGTATCTTCTACCTTCTGTAGTTGAGTCATTGACTGTATTTATCGACTGGGGACCCAGGGACAACTAGAGGGTCATGAGGTGGACAGCAATGGCATGAGGTATGGTGTTTTCAGAGTGATCGGCTTCATAATGTCCAGATGATGGGCAGACTTTCTGTTTGCTTGGGTTCATGCACCAGAGTTAGGGAGCAGTCCCTTTTAAGGTTGAATTTCATTATGATGGTATTCTTAATACAGATTGTTTCAAGGTATTATTTAAAGGGGAAACTCATGTATAGTCAGACAAACATAGGTCAAAGCCAAGTTCTCTGTGTACCAGTGATAAACCTTGGGAAAGTTTCTTCACCCAGTCACATTTTCTCCACTGACAATGGAGGGCCCTAATACCAAACTTTTTTTTTTTTTTAATAGAGGCATTTGTTTATTTATTTATTCATTTGTTTATTTGTTTGTTTTGTTTATACATGCACTGGGTACAGTCAGAAGCGTGGGAGGGTGAGAGAATTCACCAGAGCCAGAGCGGGGAGCAGAGCAGGCAGAAGGAACGAAGTACACTGCTGAGGGGAGCAGCAGGCGGCAGGAGAGGTCTGCGCGCCATGTGGGACTCTCCTCAGGTGGCCAGGAGCAGCCGGGGATCGAACCGGCACTGCAGAGGCTGCAGGCAGCTTCGCAACCCAGTGCTCAACCGCTGCGCCACCGGGGAGGCCCTAAACTTTTTTTTTTTAAAGATGTATTTATTTATGCATACAAGAGCTGGGGCACAGGCCAGAGATGATGGGGGTGAGAGGATTCACCAGAGACAGAGTGGGGAACAGAACAGGCAGACTGACTGAAATACACTGCTGAGGGGAGCAGCGGGCAAGTCAGGCGAGGTCTGCTGCGCCATGTGGGTTGCTTTCTGGCCGGCAGGGGATCGAACTCGTGCTGCAGAGGATGCAGATTGCTTCACAGTGTGGTACTCAACCACTTGTGCCACCAGGGAGTCCCAATACCAAACTTTTAACATAAAGATTGTCGGTCTCAGAGCAGAATACTTGAGATGACATTTCCGCTTTCCAATTACATGACCTCTCATATGTGATTTTACTTCTCTGCGTTTGTTTCCTTGCCTGCAAATTAGAGCTCAGCATTCACATGTCCAGTTACATGGAGATGAAATGTACTAACAGATGCAATTAACTTAGAATTCTTTCTATATTGTAAACAATATCTAATAAAAGACCTCCTTCATGAATTTTCTTGTTCTTATTATTGCCATCACATATTAAGTAAATAATTCTTAGGCTATGATAGAGCTGAGGAAGAATGATTTGAACTAACTGTCCTCTTGGGTTCATTTTTAGGGACTTTTGAGATTTCCTTATCAATGATATTCTTTACAATTGGAGATTTTAAAAGCCATTCAAGTATTAACCTAATAAAATAATGTGCACCTAAGGCTAGGCCTCCTTCCCCAATCTGGGCTTTCTCTGCACAAAGCAGGAGATGTCAAGACTCTACAGTGGAACCTTTGCCTAATGTGACATCCTTTTTTATCTCTCTCTAGAAAGTTCCCTTAGCATTAACAACCCAATTGTCTTCTTTTCTTATGTGAAATGTACTTCATCCTTTAACTTGACCTGGTAGGAGTGTGATTAGTTAATTGCTGTGGGCACCTGACATTTGAAGGAAAAAATGGATACTTCACCCATCTTTCTTCTGATGCAATAGAAAATGATTAAGGTTCAGTGATTTCTCAGTGGGGGGCAGCTGTTTTCAGTGGATATTCAGAGACTGGCAAATTCTAGATATTAAGCTTTTCTTGTCTGTCTTTTTCTCTTTTGTGAAGGGATGACAGGGGAGGGGTTAAAGAGGACAAAGGGACAGGCTTTGATTTTTTTTTTTTTAAATCTCTGTTCTTTGTAATAAAAATGCTCATACTCATTTGTATTAATTCCAGCTTATTTGCAATGTGCATACTTGGCCCCTGGCAAAACTGTGAAATCTTCAAAGTTTCCTTGTTCTGTCTCTGTTTTTGCATTCTATAAAATTTTAATGCTCTGAGAGGGCTTCTTCTCAGTCCCCTGAACACACCCAGAGCACACTTATTCTGGCTAGAGCTGGGAAACAGAAGGGGCTGTTCTGACATTCTTAGGTAAAATAATCCCTATCACTGGTATTGATAGCAAGGCTATCCCCTCCTCCTTCCCTGAGGATAGGTGGGGTAATGAGGGTCTCAGAATTTCCCCTCTTCATTTATTCTTGGTCATGAAGGTGTTTCAAAAATCAGGTGGAATATTAGATCTTTACCCAAGAAAGATGCACAGAGGTACAGGCATACACAGCAATTTATGTACAGGTTTAAGGAATTCTCAAAACTTCTTAGATGCACAAAAGGACATCCTTCTAATGGAGCATCCGTGCAAGACTGGCTGTGAAAAGACTGGGTTAAGTGGGAGCAAGTCTGGAGGAATGAGTCTTCTGTCAATATCCTTTCATTCTACTTTCTGGATCAACACTTAGTAGGGGTAGTGGAAATATGCCTAAAATTGGTATCAGAGTAAAAGTATAGATAAGAATTACAATAATTTTTACTTAAAGCATGGGTGCTGAGTGATAAGACACATGCAACTATATCATTATTTTGTAACATAACAAGATCTAGTAGCTATGACTTAAGGTTAAAAAAAGAATTGAAAGATATTTTCAGTTAGAGTCCAAGCTGAAGGACTTAAATGCAAGCCCACAGAAATAGAATCAGTGATACTGTCTACAAGGTTGTTTTTTTTCCTGAAGAGTGTCTAAGTCAGAGAAGCATTGACCTTGAACTTCTTGATACACATTGTGAAGCCAAGGACATGTTTCAAACACATGTTTCATTTGAATTTCAGTAGAATAATGATGAAGAGGGTGATGTCTTAGTTGAAGATACGCCAGTGAGCAGAGAAAGGGATGGGGAATGACTTGGTGATACATAGAGTCAGTCTGGGTACAATTGAGTAAGGGATGCTTTCTTAATAGTAATAAGATTTTAGGAGCCTCCCTGGTGGTGCAAGGGGTTGAGCCACAGCACTGTGAAGCTATCCTCAGCCACTGCAGCACGAGTTTGATCCCCGGCTGGCCAGGGAACGACCTACGTGGTGCAGCAGACCTCTCCTGTCTCGGCCGCTGTTCCCCTCAGCAGTGTATTTCAGTCAGTCTGCCTGTTCTGTTCCCCACTCTGTCTCTGGTGAATCCTCTCACCCCCCACACCTCTGGCAGGTACCCCAGTTCTTGTATGCATCAATAAATAAATCTTTAAAAAATAATAATAAAATTTTAGAGGAAAGTGAGCTGTCTCATGAAGTCAAATCCCTATGCTTCTAAGAAATAGGATGGTGTAGTTAATAGCCTGAAAACTGTTAGGAAATATGGAGACCTTATTAGCTTATGCAGTTTGTGGCTGACCTACCTAACCACACAGATGCTTTTTTTCAATTCTGCTTTCTGACATTTTATAACCTGCATTTTTCAAAAATGCAGAAATACATCAGGGGCCAAGATCCACCGTTCCATTGACATTGATAAGACAAACTAAAGACTATATTTTGCTTTAATTTATAAAAAAAAAATTGAAGAGTAAAATGGAGCAGATAAGCAATCAAATTCAGAATCCTTTTCTAAGTGATCTTTGAACAGCTAAGCGAGATAGAAAATGCCATCAAAATAGATGGTGCCTGGCCTTTCTTGAGCCATGTAGCTAATATCACTTTGAAAGCATTTGCATAGGCCATTTTGGAAACTTCAGTTTTACCCCAGAACTTCTCAATGTGTAAACTAGAAGGGACATATAAAAAGAAAAAAAATGACAAAGAGCTAGACAATGCTTTAGTATAAAACAAACTGTAACTATTGCCTGACAACAATCTGCCAAAAGGAGTCTAATCAAATATTTTAAGAGAATGACAGTTGGACCAGAAAAACTTAGATACTATGAAAAAGGATGTGGAATTTGCCTTTGCACTGCCCAGCCGAGGATATATCTCTTTGGTGCTCTTCATATTGTGCCCAAATCCGTGTTATCCCTTGTCTGTCTAAAGACAATTGGGATAAATAAATAAATAAACAAACAAATAAATAAATAAATAAATAAAATTGGGACAGTATTATAAGGCCATTATTCTGCCAAATAATTAAATGTTTAATAGATTTCAGAAAAACCTAAAGTATACATGCATAGTCTTTGCAAAGCAAAGTCACACCGTATCTTGTCTGGTACTCATGATAGAATACAGTCCAAGATACTATCACCCTGATTTAGGAAGAATGTGGAATGATTGTCATTAAGTCACACAGACTGTCAATGGCAAAATCAGGACAAAATTATTCTGCTACTCTGCAGATTTTATACAGAACTAGATGTTTTAAAAAGGATTTTATTTGTGTGTCTCAATTAGCACATGATCATCCAGAAATGACTGACAGAGCTAAGATAGAACTACTCAGACTTGGTTATCTCGTCACTTTGGGGTAGATAATTGTTGCTGCAGGGTGCATGGATGAATATTTACTAAACTCTCTGACCTCCATCCAGGAGCACACCCCATTTGTGAAAAAATGAACACATTTTCAGATACTGCCAAGCAAGATACTGGGATGAGACTGGATGGTGTGTAAAATGAGACTATCATTGGTTATTAAGTGAGGTATTTTTATTTCCCACACACAAAATGACATCATTTCCCCAACAAAGCCAGAAAACATTTAGCTATAGGAACCCAATAAATCAAATGGAATTTTCCAACAAAAATTGACATTTATACAGAAAACATAGAAATCTTTACCTCAAACAATGTATCAACAAGGGTGAGAACATCAATAGAGTTATACATTCTTCCCTTGAATTGATTTTGTTTCACTTGCTCAGATATTTCTTGGATTAACTTTACTAATGAATTTTCACAGTGGTTTATTCCCTTGACTACTAAGTCAGAGTCTTTGCTTAATTATAATATTCTTTTCTAAGTCCAGGTCTTTATCAGACTATTAACAGCAGGAAAAGATTTGCTGAGATGACAGCTAACTAATCCTTCTTATTTATAAAGGACAAAACCAAGAATACAATGTAAGTGAATATTTTATATATGAAAACATGTACATTCTATGAATATATAACAGCACCTGCTAACATTACACTTTTACTTAAATAGATACTTAGCACATCTTTTTAAGCAAGAATATCACTCAGTATATATATTCTGCTCAGTACCAAAATTTATGTAAGTGATGACAAGAACAACAGGAAATATTTCTGCTCCTGACTCAAATTTTAGAAAGGATTTCAACATGATTTAATATACTAAAAAATGTCTTAGCATGTTGTATTGACTTTTATTAAAAAATAAGTGAGAACTGTTAAAAATACACACCCACACAGGTACAGAAAGGCAGATACACATGCATAGGTACACACACATTGGTACACACTCACACTGACGTGCATGATCCTGTCTCTAAAACCTGACATGTCAGAGATTGTTTCAATATCTAAAGAGTCAATGAGCTATTCTGTAATTTTCTATCTCTTCCTGTATTTTTCACTTAATTGGATCATTGTTAAAGGAGCTTTGTGTTTCTCACATAACTGTATCTTGGCCTAAATAAATTCTAAGGCCAAGTTGCTCATTAAACCCATGTATACTTATTATCCATAGGCTCAGGTACCATTATCTCCTGATGATACTACTGTAATATCAAACTCAATATATTTGAAGTTTCACCTTCTGTCTTTTCGTTAAAAGAATCAGTGAAAGAACAACTACAACAAAGTAACCACAGTGAATCCAAATGTAAAGGATGCTTATTCAACACCACGATGAAACAGCAGCCACAGCGGAACCTGTCTGCCCACCTTCCAACAGTATTTATCTATCCTCTTGGCAAAACACATTCAATTTCAGAAAATAAATAGATATTAATTTCCATCCATGTGCCCATTTCAATTCATTATCTAGAGAGGTAAATATTCATAAAGGTGACACCAAAGTCAATATTGACCTTGGGGGATAATAAATCTTGACATTTACCAGAATAAGCAGTTCACATAGAATGTAGACACATGTAAAATTCCACCTGATATATTAACCATGGCAGAAAACTAACGATAAAACTGTGTGTGTGCATTAATTCCATGCAGAATCAGAGAGAAGAGTTGGCTGAATAGTGGCATTCTGCACCTTCTGTCCCCATTTCCCCCCAAGCAACAATCTTGCAATTTATTTTACATACTGAAATTCTATGTGAGATTTCATTTTGAAAACCAAACGTTCTGCTCCTAAAATAGCTTAAATATTTAAGGCCTTCATCCTTGAGCCATCAATTCTTTTTGAGAACTAGAACACATGTTTGTTAATTGTCTCAGTGCGAGCTACTCCAGGTGTCTCTCTGCCCTCTCTTGACAGCAACCATTGATAGAGGCAGAGAAGCAGGGCGGCGAGACTGGACATCAAACAAATTACTTAGATTCTCTAAGTCTGAGAAAGGAAGTCCACTGAGACGAGAAAATAGCTGAGATAGAGGACAACAGAGACAGAAAGACTGATATCACTACTAAGTCAGTTAATAGTCTAGGTCAAGGGGACAAAATCAGGGAGCCTGATAATAAAGTAAAGAATTTCTAGTCTGGTTCCCATACAGCTTATGATAATAGGAAGCTCACCAGTATGCTGCTGTTCCACTATCGAGGCTGCTAGGCAGGCGCTCGTTGCAGTTCCTGTTCTTTGCCTGTGTTGAAGAAAAATGGTATTGGGTATGGACACTCCCATCTAGCCTCACTGGTGACAGGAGGTTGTGGCTAGTTTTGAAACTAACTCTGTGGTCCAAAGATGGAGAAAGACTCTAAATACCATCTAACACTTGCCTGTTTGAATCTGTGATTTAAATAGCATAAGAAGATTATTCTTACTAATATCAACTTTTAAACATATACACACAACAGAACATCTACCCAACAAGTTCTCGGGGTAGTGCAGCATCATATAGTGATGAAAATACAGCACTTAGTGAGAAAGGTCTGTAGGAAACCTGAAACAGAAAGTTATACTAACCGAGTCTGATCACGGACTCCACTAAAGCATTAGTGACAAGCATCAAACACGTGTCAAGGAGTTGATGGCCCAAACTTCAATGAGTAATTCAACCAACTTTTACAAATAGTAACATAGACTCACAGGAGCTTCCAGACCGTGACTTCGACACAGAGGGGAAAGAAAGGACAGCCTGCAAGGCTAGAATAAGACGACCTGGATACAGAGGAGGAATTTGTCGGTCTAAACCGACAAGGTTTTTCCTCTGGATCAAAGAGAAGAAATAGTTCTGAAAAGATGGATATATTCTCAAATTGAGGAATAGCTCAGCTGTAGCTTTGAGTTTAATGAAATATCAGGTAGAGCGAAAAATATGGATTTTGTTATAAGGTAAGTAGGTCTTGATTCCAAGTGACCACATAGCTATATGATCTTGGGTAAAGTATCTTCCCATCCCAGCCAGCAAACCCTCACTCTAGGATGAGGAGAACAACTGTTGCTTTGCACTGTGAGAGAAATGGAGTGGGGTCCCTTTAGTTACCACCCCAGAATGGGATGTAGATTTGGGATCCAATCAACAGAGAAAAATCATATAACTTTATTGCTAAACTCCAATGTTCCAATTTTCCAACCTGCTGGTTAGATTTCTTTCACGTGTATCAAAAGTTTTCCCGGGGGCCTCCCTCTTGGCATATGGGTTAAGTCACAGTGCTCTCACTGCTGTGGCTTGAGTTCAATCCCTGGCCAAGGAGCTAACCCACAAGGCACAGAAGACCTCTCCTGGTTCACCCACTGCTCCCCTCACCAGTGTATTTCAGGGGATCTGCCTGTTCTACTCCCCACTCTGTCTTTAGTGAATCCTCTCATCCCCCGTACCTCTGACCTATACTCTAATACCTTCTATGCAAAAATAAAAAATAAAATGAAATCAAAAGTTTCCTGATTGCTATAGAACAAGAGGCAATGATCTCTGTGCATATCCTGGGGAACTCAGCCTAACTGGAAAGAACACAGCCTCACTGTCCCGATTGCAGTCCCCTGGACAGGGCAGCTTCATTCAGAGGTAAACTTCATGGAAGTGGCGGCTCATGACCAGGTGACCATAGTGGATGCAGCACAGACTTGGAGTGGTCACCACAGTCCCTCCAGAAAGCTCCCTTTCTGCTCGCTAAGTACATTGGTGGCTTTCTTTTCTTCCTGTGAATTGATAAGCTCTTCTGACTTCTAATTATCGATTAATCATAATCTGTAGTTCATAGATCTGTCACAATTGATGGGAAATGAGGCTACCTGTTGTTCCAAGAGGAGAGGGGAAACAGGAAAGTTGTTCTCCTTCATGGAGGGATCCTGGAAAACATGAATAGGGAAAAAGAACCCAAAACAAAAGTCTGTGCCCCTCGGTATATGTGACCCTCCACCATGGGTTAAGTGAATACATTTTGCTCATCAACTGTAATTGGAGATTTTGGGAGAATACTTTTTATCCTAATATAAGCATGAGGTAATATAGAGTAGAATGCAAATATGCCTGAGTATTTTAGATAAAATTCAAGAAATTACATGCTTCAATGGCTACTTGAAGCTAAGTTCTCAGAATCCCCTGGGTTCTCACACACTCTTTTTTAGGGTGAGTGAGCGGCACTTCAATGGAAAAGCATGAAAAGCATTAACATCAATCATTAAAGATACAAACCAATCATTTAGTAAATGTTACTTGAAATAGAGAGCGTGAGGGAAAGGAGGTCTAAAGCAGAGAGAGTGGGAAAGAGAAAAAAGAATAGGCAGAGAATAGAAGAGCATGGGAGGTGAGGGAGGCAGAATGAGGAAGTAATAGGAAGGAGTCATAGAAGGCAAATTGGAGTGCCAGGAAAATTGAAGGTAAGAAAGCAGAGAAGAGAGGTACTTAATAAAGTGTCACAAATAAAGTGAAGCAGCTAGTCACCTTGCCATGGCTTTCTTTTAAAGTGGTGCTGTTATCTTTTATTTATTTATTTTATTGTTGCTGTTTCTGGCATTATGTAGATAGCAATCCGATCCTTCCCCTAATCAAATTATTTCACAAAGCCTTTTGAAATACTTTTATGCATGTAAAGAGAGGTGAATGCACAGTAGGCATTTCATAATTATTTTTCAAATCAGTGCATGAGGAACTTGAAGTTGGAATGAGTATTCGTAAATTCATCCATCATTGTACCAGCATCCGACTCTTTAACCCATCATTAACAAGAGCAAAAGAACACTTCGACTATTCACGCACCAGAAGCATGCATTCAGCAGGACATGGAATGGAAGCACAGGTTTCCCAAACCTTCAGATTTTACCTCCATTTGCTAGCTTTCCACAAAAGTGGGGAGGGGGTGCGGGGGTAAGGGCTACCACAAACACTTGACACAAACTCCTACCCAGACCCACTGATTTTCTTAAAGTCTGTTCAAGGATACATCAAGGATGTCATATTGACATCGTCTGTAAGGGTCTGCTCAGTTTCTGGATGGGATTTACTCTCTACTTTTCTAGATGAAATTCCTTTCTCTACTTGATAGTGGAGTTCTCTTTATAACTGTTTTCTGTAGGCATGTCTACTGGGAAGATCCAAAGCAGAGCTCACACTCTATTGGAGCCCTGGAATCACGCGAGGAATCCAGACAGTCACATTTTTCTGACAAATGGAGGCCAATTCTGCTACAGTGCCTTTGACATAAGCAGTGAAGTGAAAACAAGTTTGTATTTGCCTTGGAAATCTCTCAGCTCTCTGACTACCCAGAAGAAAGGGGTGTAAACCATTTTACCTTTGTTTGAGAATGGGCATGCAGGTGTCTTTGACCTAATTTATAACTATTTTGAGAGAGTCTATTGAGACTCATTAGTAATTATAACAGGTATAATTGCTGAATTCCCACATCACATATATTTATACAGAGTAACTCCTGTTATACACCCCAACTAATCCTACATGGTCCAAGTTAGCATCTATAAGAAATACTCACTGTTTGTGAATGAAATCAATCCAGAACTGTAAGACCTACACCATTTCCACTCCCCAGGGCCTACCTGCTGCTCTCAGTCTCTTAAGAAGGAACTTTAATAAGAACAATCAGGAACATGTCATAGATATGCTGAATTCTTTGCCCTTCCTGAGTTAGAACATCCTATTCTTTGCCCTTCCTGAGTTAGAACATCCTCTCCCCCTCCTCCAGATACTGATGCTATCTTTTCTATAAGTCTTTCCTCTGGAAAAGGTCTGTTTCTCTCAGTCAATTATAGTTCCGTATAGATTTATTTCCTGCATTTTCTCTCCCAGTGGGGGCTTGGTACTTTATTGCTATTTGAAAGGATTGAAAGGTCTTTTCCCATATTTACAGATCAGGGGTTTAATGGAGGTGGCAGAAGAGTAGTTTGGGGACAGATGGGTGGGGGAGTTGGAATGAGGCTTTCCCCTGTGCCTGTGGGTGGCAAAGTCCCGGTGGCCTGCCCTATAATAGGCCTTGTTGGGAGGCTTCACATTTGGTGCTTGTGCCCACACAGTTTAGCAGGCAGCACTGGAATCCATCAGAGTTTTTTCTCCCCTCCTCTTACATTTTTAACACAATCATGAGCTTAGGAAAAAACCATTGCTAACACCCAAAATACATGGCCCATGGCAGAAAAAAGGAGTGGGAAAGGAAGAAGGGAAAGTGAGAGGAAGGGACTGAGGGAGAGAACTGGAAAACATGTATATTCTGCAAACAGTAGCCTAGTCTACCACCTACAATCATCTGTCTGTTAGGCGAACTTCCTTAGATTGCTTTTTGCCTGGGACTGTCTTCAGAGGGATATTTCTGTTTCTAAAGGTGGAGAGTTAAAAATAATGTACATCATGAGCAGTGTTTTGGCATTTCCCTTCATTTT